GGGTGAACCACGCAGTCTGCTAGGATTGTAGGGTGGGTGCGAGTAAAGTCGATCGCTTGTTTCAAGGTTGTTGAGATCTCTTTTTTTTTTTTTTTTAAGAAAAAAAGAGGCCCTTGTGGTCCTGGCTCCATGTCCATTCTGGGGAGCATCAGTCCGGTTCCTTTTCCCCCGGCACGTTGTGTAGGACATCATTGACACCCTCTCGCTTCCTTCCGTTTGGCCGCCGGACCCCTGACCAACATTTTTTTGATTATCCCGCGTATCAGTAGGATTGACTGTCAGCTTGCCCTCTCATGAATCCCTCTCAGGTTCTGAAACTGAATCTGCAAACTATAGCTTTCCATAAGGGTGTTGCTGAATCTTGACCGTTTATCCATAAGACTGTTGAAGCTCAAGCACCGGATGAATGAAACAGTCTGTCACAAATGACCTTTTTTTTTAACCGAGTTTGTGTTTAGCAAACACACAATAGAAACAAACACACACATACACAGTGTGTCACAGTTGCCATTTTCTTCTCGAGCTGTGTTTAGCAGACAAGAGACACACACTCTTGCAATCTCAGAGAGAGAGAGAGAGAGAGAGCTGCAAACCTCTTCAGTGTTTGAAATTCATTCTATGAAGCGCAACCACTGCCATTTCCACGGAACAGCAAAGAATTGTCCCCTCGCAAAAACTAGTGCTGCAGCTCAAACGAGAAAAACACACAATATACAGATACACAGTCCATCCCAGACTGGTCCTGTCCGGTTTGCAGCGGTGGCCACGTACCATAGCAATATTTGGAGACGGTGCGCGGGAATAAAAAGACTACAATAGCAATATTTGACGTCGTTCGCTAAATTCTGTTGTTAATAAGATCTGTAAATCAGTGGTTCCCATTTGAAAAGAAGAAGAAGAAGAAGAGAAGGAGAAGAAGGAGAAGAAGAAGAACACACGGCTACAGGTTTGCGAAGTCTAACCACGCGCGAATGGCACCCCCCTCTCGATGATGATCGATCCTAGCCACCTATTTCTGCGGATTGGCGGCTAGAATCGATCGCCCAAAAAAAGGCCCTGGCGTGGCCTACAATTTTTTTTTTTTCGCGGGCGTGTTCTACTGGCCTTGGGGGGGGCGGCCTGGACCGATTCGGCCTCTCAAGACCCCCCCAGGCATTTTGCGCCGGGACCGCCCCGTGGTCAACCGTGCCGGACAACCGGCCAGGCGGCCCGGCCCCCTCCCCGGGCGACGTCCAGGGCCCCGGGCAGCCTGGCGACCAGCCCAGTTAATTTGTGGAATGTAGGATTTGAACCTACAACAATGAGATTGTTTAACACTTCTACTCTCGTTACCAGACTCCTCCTAACCACAGTCCTAACCAGACTCCCAACCAGACTCTAAACCAGATTATGAACCCCAATCTTATTAGTTAGTGGTGCAGTTAATGCTTGGACTTCTGCAAACAAGGTCAGGACCATGGCTATGACCACCCAGGCTCGTTGCCACACTCCTGACCTGACCAGACTCCTAACCAGACTCCGAACCAGATTCTGAATCCCGATCTTATCAGTTGGTGGCGCAGTTAATGTGTTGAAATTACCAATTGAGCATAACAAGGTGTAGCGCAGTCTGGTAGCTCATTTGTTTTCGGTACTGCGAAACTGACAGGGGCCCAAAGTTCGTGAACTCCAATCGTCCTTTTGAAGCTGATAATCCGTGTGTTCTTTTTTGGATCAGGTGAACACATTTGGGTATATTGCAAAAGCTATCGGGCCACAGGATGTGCTGGCGACACTGCTGAATAACCTCAAGGTGCAGGAGCGTCAGAATCGCGTTTGCACAACAGTTGCGATTGCGATCGTTGCTGAGACATGCTCTCCTTTCACTGTCTTGCCTGCCCTTATGAACGAGTAAGTCCTGCGAACTATCTGATGGAAGCTCTACTTCTACTTCCGTTTTTCTTGCTAAAAACCTGTATCAACAATCGTCGTTCTTTTTCCTCTTTTTCTGAGTCTCAATAGCAGCCTTTTTTTTTTCAACTCCTCCAGACATTTGGTTTCAATTTTTGTGCGTCTTTAACCGCCGTCTTACCAATTTGATGGAATTTGTGACAGTAAAGCCCTACATTTGTTTCATAGCGCATCTAATGGAATCGATGAAATGACCCAGACCTCCCTCCCTCCCTTGTTCTCTCTACAAGATCCAGTGTATTGAGGTGGAGAGTGATCCTCCCGCCAAGAGAGATTATCACAAAGAGGATCGATGCCTACCACAGCCCATCTCGTGGACGGCTCTCCCCCCCCCCCTCTTCGGTGTACCAATGGATGAGGCAAACAATGGTTCCTGAAGAAGAGAGAAAAAAAGCTGTATCTGCGAGAGCTAGAGAAGGGATCGGGGTTGACGCATTACGGAAGTAATGGTGAAAAGCGCCCATTAAAATAAAAAAACCGACATGCAAATTATGATTGGGCTTCTGCAAACAAGGTCAGGACCATGGCTATGACCACCCAGGCTCCTTGCCAGCCTCTAATCACACTCCGACCCGGACTCCGAATTTGACTCTGAATCAGATTCCGCTCCGGACTCCAAACCAGACTCTAAGTCAGATTCTGAACCAGCTTCGGAACCAGACTCGGAACCAGACTCGGAACCAGACTCGGAACCAGACTCGGAACCAGACTCTGAACCAGACTCTAAGCCAGATTCTGAACCAGATGCGGAACAAGACTTGGAACAAGCGTTCGGTAACTTCGGTCCTATTCTCCTGTTCCGGCCACCGACTCTCTGCAATTGAAACTAGGGAATAGGTCTTCTCAGCTTTTTGCAACACCCACCAAGGAAGTGGACTTGAAGTTGATGAAGGACACTTTCTTTTCTCCCTACGTAATCCGTGCGGGAATGTCGTCATCGTAGTCTTTTGAGACTCTTCATGGTACCAAACTGGGATGCGGTGATTTTAATGGCTGTATCTGTATTGGAATCGAGACCACATCCTACAGACAAAGAGTTGAAAATTTTGTCAAACTCAAGGTCGACAACCATTTTCAAGCAAAAAAAAAAAAAAAAAAGCTAACCAGTGCCGCCAAGCTGTCCTTCGGGACATCCGTTAAACACTGGAATGGTACAGTACTCGATCTTGATCTCGCTCATTCTTTATTTTTCAATGCTGGTTTTCATTTTTCGCTACCTGTTCTTCCATTTCAGGTTGATGCAAGCAAACCAGTCCTTTTTCTGTTCCAGATGTTTTCACTCGGGAGTCGGGCAGGCTCTTTCATAGACCTCCTTTTGGGGGTTGGTATGACTGGCCCTTCCTCGGGCAGCGGCCGGACAATGCGTAAAACAAGACCGTGTAGTCTGCTATTTGATCTGTTTGGTCATCGTGCTACCGTGTTTCTCCCCTGAATAGAACCGACGGTCATTATCAGCGCATCTAGACTGAAAGTTTCCCCAAATACAGGCATAATAATGACTGTACGATGTGTACGTTCTATCGAGGAGAAGACTGTAGCCGCTGCTCAGCTGCCATGTGCTCCTTGCTTGCAGTGGTGTGTGAATGGTAATTGTATTATCTTATGACCTTATCTACTGTTGTCACCCGAATAGATTGCTCGGAATATTGTTCTGCATCTGGACTGACATTTCCCCCAAATACGTCGATAAGGACGATATGTTCCATTCGGGGGAAGAAGACCCTACAGTCATCTTGCATGATTTTTACAGTTAGAGGTGTATCGAGATAAGAGTCGAGACATGTGTTTCGAAATCTTGGCTGCCAAAAATCTTCTTGAAATATTTTGTCCGTCCTTTCAGGACCCCTAAGTGTGTCCTGAGCCCTGACATGTGCTCGCCTGCCTCCTGCCATAGGTATCGTGTACCCGAGCTGAACGTCCAGAATGGTGTTTTGAAGTCCCTTTCTTTCTTGTTCGAGTACATTGGGGAGATGGGAAAAGACTACATTTATGCTGTCACTCCTCTGCTGGAGGATGCGTTGATGGATCGCGACCTGGTACACCGTCAGGTATATATATCGTTTCATGGGCCGTCTTACCTCTCCCTCTCTCTGTCGCAATGCTGTACGGTGGTTGTGAAGTTGGCACACAGGTGAAGAAAAGCCTAACCTGGAATCTAAGTGCGGATCATACGTCTTCAAGAACGGGATCTCTTCTGTCCTCGCTTGTTCACCCCGCTCTCCTTCCTCTCCTTCCTCTTGTGCTTTTTTGGTTGTTTCTGGGGCTGTCTGACCATCTTCAAGCAACGGCATATACATTTGATAGGGGAGAATGTGAATATATTCTCTCTCTCTCTCTCTCTCTCTCTCTCTCTCTCTCTCTCTCTCTCTCTCTCTCTC